TCGACTATGAGCGCATGCATGCATGCATCATCACCACTCATCGTCATAATTGGTTTTCATGACCATTATAGAAGAGAAGATGGTTTATTGCACTTCTTCTGGAAAGGATAATCATAATACTCATAATTCAGATCATGAAGCCAACACTACATTAATTTTCTTGTCCCTTCTAGATATCAAGACACTGTCCATCTTGAAGAACTCATACTGACTCATCAAGCTATTCCGCTTGTGAAACCCTATCTCGAGGTAAATGCAAAACTGGCATAAAGACTAATAGCAGTGAAAATCAAGCAAACTCGTTCCGAACCGCAAAACTTAAAAACCAAAAAATTGCAAAAAAGGGAAACAAAACTACTTAGGTATTGACGAAACATGGGGGTATTTTGCAGCAGCGGCTGCACGCGCTTCTATGATCATAATGATGATATCGATGACGATGTTGACTTGGTGGATGTTGATGCTTCTTTTTTCGTCGACGAGTTGCCTGGCCCAAGGGTAAAGATGATGGTGATCGTTGTCGTGAGATGTTGGTTGAAATTCTTTTTTGCATCGATGCCGCCTCGGTTTGTGGATGTAAATTGAAGGAAGGTTCAAGAAGAGAAGAAGTGCGAATGAAAAAAAAAAAATGCAAGTAAAACATAAACTTGGTCGTTTCCCAGGTATCCTTGTTGTTCCCTAGTTCCGTATACCCTCATATCGTGTCGTTGCGTGTGCTATCTCATCCTGTCCCGTCCTGTGCCGTAATGAAAGCGAAAAAGTGGAACACCAACCAGTTGAGAACTCAAGAGAGAGGAAAAAGGAAAAGAGACAAGCGGGAGTTGCAAGTTGGGTAGGCAGCACATTCGCCACTCTCTTCTCTTCCCTCCTCTCCCCTCTCGCGTTCTGCTTCCTCTAGTCTCGTCGCATTCCCCCTTCTCTCTCACGCTCGCACCGCGATCCTGACCGTAATTGCTTTTTCCTTGCCCTCTCAACTTGGGTTCGCGGCTACTGCTTCCAACAGAGAGGGAAGCTAGCCCACAACACGCAACACGCTCCGCGCCGCCACACCATCCACTGTCTGTCAGAGTGAGAGGGAAGAAAAAGAAAGACTAGTCGTAGTGGAGAGCACCAACGAGTCTCGAACCCTGCAGGTGTCAAAGACGGGCACTGTACCCTTCAAATCCGAGCAGGATGAGGGGGGCGTGGATGTATGGAAATTCGGTGTGGGAGAGGAGGGGATGAGGGAGGGGTGCGTGCTTGTGTCTGTGTGTATGTGTGTGCTGCCAGGTGTGGTGGGTGTGGTAGGCGTTGGGAGGAGAGAGAGACAGCATCGAGAGAATTGTTCTCCACCGCCCACGCCTCAAGCACCCATGTCCTGCCCCCCATCTCACCGTCGAGCGGATTGCAAGACACAGATCCCCGTCCCCTGGGTTGGCCCTTTTCTCTGCCCTGCCCCCGATGTGCGTCGTCGACCCTCATCCGAACATGTCCCCGGAGCGCCAGATCTTGGCGGGAAGAAAAGACGTAGGAGAGAACAGGGGTGGGGGGACAGAGAAAGAGTGAAAGTAGAGCGACCGGGGCCGGGGCCCCCGAGAACAGCTAGAGAAGATAGCCGGACCGCTCTCGTGATGTCCCGTCCAACCAGACGGGATACTCCGCCGCGAAAACTCGTTGCTGGTTTTCCGTCTTAACAGGAAAGGCGAGGGTAGTCGTCAGAGATGGAGATAGGCGTAAGCAGACCAAATCGAGAAGTGTGACAAGAGGTGGAAGAGGCTTTGATGGGGTAATGAAACAACTGGAAGCTCTATTCCTCTTGGGAACTGATCTTCATGTCTTTTTGTGTTTTTTTTTGTTGCCCTCTTCTGACCCTTGACATCCAGAGGCGGAGACTTTTTGACTTCCCGCGACCGTCCAACCCGCCGTACAATAATACATCATCGCCCTAAAAGGCGGAAAAGCGAGAAAGAAAGCCACCCACCCATGACCAACCCACCTCGCTCTACGCTTCTGGTAGAGGGGAGGGGGAAACAATCGTTACCCCCGGTAAACGCCGTTGTGAAAAAAATAGATAGAGGAAGGGAAAGAGTTACAGACCACCCCAGAGACGAAGCACTCACACCACAGGAGCCACACCAACCCAGCCGCACCAACCCGTCTCCAATCATGAGATGTGATGTGCCGACACCGCTCACAACTGGGCGTTGGAGCCCCATCCATAGATGGCACCGCCGGCGGGTGTCGAAGGGCTGTACACTCCAGAAACATCAGCCATGGCATAGCCCTGGAACTGGTAGGGCTGGGCCGCGGCCATGAAGGGATCCGGAGCACTGGTAGGAGTCGTGATGTTGCCGCCGCCGGGCGTGCTGCCAACGATGACGGTTCCGGTAGGAGAAATGGGGCTAAGGTTGAGAGGACCGCCGCGAGCTTGAATTTCGCGCTGCTGCTGTTGCTGGAAGCACTGCTCGTTGGCCACCTGACTTCGTCTCATCATCTCCTCGTGAATCTGCATGTGCGGAGGAAGCTGCTGCTGATGGTGATGGTGCTGGTGGTGATGCTGCGAGGCCATGACGGGGCTCATGGACCCGGTCTGGGATCGCTGGCGCCTTGCGTTGCGGGAGTTTGTCGTGGCGCGGCCTCCTCGGCGTCCAGACATGGCGCGGCCGGGCATGGATCGGTTGGGATAGTCGGGGTTCGGGTAGTGCGTGATGGTGGAAGAGCGGGGAGGGCTGTTGCGTCTTCCCATGCCCATGGGACCGCCGCCGAGTGCGTTGGCGTTGGCGGCGGCGGCGTTGCAGGCACGGCGACCGAGGAGGCTGCGAGAGGTGCCGCCACGGTTGCCATCGCGGAAGTGCGTGGTCGGCAGAATGTCATCAAGGTACTTGGGGTTGAGGTACCACTCAGACACGCGCTTCTCGTTAGAGGTGTGACCGTCTGGTTGCGTAAAAATCTCCTTCTCTCTTCTCTGGAAAGCCTAGATGGGAGTTCTCGTGTTAGCGAACAGGATCATTGTGTTACGGTAGGGGACAAAGAGGGGCTCGTCGGTTAGGCTTATGCAAGATGCAAATGCTTCACTAGCCAGGGGGTTGGAGTTCAAGCATAATATGCATGGGGCCTTCTTGGGCAGGATAATGATCCTACTGGAGTGACGTGGGGCGAGCGAACAGGCAAAGATACTTACGTCGTTCATGCTGAGGTTGTGACGGATGCTGTTCTGCCATCCGTTCTTCTCGGTCCTCTGAGGCTTGTTGGTGTTGTCTCTGAACCACTTGTAGAGCTCCTGCAAAGTCATGGAGTGGTCTGGTGCGTTCTTGAGGGCTCTGTGGATGAGTTTGGCGTAAGGCGGACCCTCGCCGTTGTTGTTGGCAGCATCTGGCTGGGGGTTGGCCTTGGTAGAGGGACTCTGGCTACCGAGATTCTGGATGCCATCGGGCAAGTCGCCAACGTGGAACGAGGTCGGAGAGCCGCCGTAGGGTGACCCAGGAGCGTCGGTACCCGGCGAAGATGCGTAGTGAACTCTATCGCTCTCCAGAGTTCGCTGCAAGGGCTCGGGATCGAAATGGCGCTGCTCAAAGCCGTGGGGATAGCCGCTGTTACTGTAGTGAAGGGAGACATTTAGATCTGTTCCGCGTAGAGTCTCTGGCGACATTGTCAAGTGGTCGTTGGCAAGCCCAAAGGCTGGTTCCTGAGAACGAATGGGCAACTCGTACTGCGAGGCTTGCACCGGTGGGGGGGTCTGGGTTGACGAGGGCCAGCTTCTCGGTGAGAGAGAGGCTGGGTTGTATGCCGACTGAACGGTCTGGCCGCGGTATGAGTAGTTGTCAAATTCATCTGTAGACATGGACTGTGGCGAGGACCAGGTAGTGTGGTTCATGACTGGCGACGGATATTGATGCTGGCTGATGGCAGTGAGCTGTGTGTAGTATGGTTGAGGATCTTGGACGGTGAAAGATCGTTGCTGAAGTTGTTGTTGTTGTGGTTGCTGTTCAGGGGCCATGGTGTTGTATGTTTCCACCATGTCCGTCTTGATGGCCAAGGCGGTTGAAGACTGTGTGCTATTGCTCTGCTGTTGATGGGCCAGGGTAGCGCCCATGTTGTGTTGAGGTGAGTTCTTTGCCGTCATGATGCGGTGAACAGTATGACTGTGTGGAGGAGGAAGGGGAAGAGAATCAGGTAACGCTGTCTGAAACAAGTTGGGAAGAAGTTTGCGCGGAAAGAGGTTTCAAAACGAGGGATAGATGAAGATGTCAGACACCACTCGAAGATGATGTTGTAAGGATGAAGGAAGGGTGGGGGAGAGGAGGAGTCGAAGTTTAACAATGGTCGAGGTGAGACAACAGGTTAACGATGTTGAGCTTGATATCGAATAAAAGACCGTCTCAGGAAGGCGTCTCGAGAAAGTGAGAGGAGACACGAGAGGTTATTAATGAGGCGACTTCAACGATGTTGGTTCAAGACCAAAAGAAGCACAGATGGCTATTCAAGGTGCCTCCAGCAAGGGGTTGACCCCGTTGTGATTTAACAAGAGAGAGAGAGAGAGAGAGGCCTGTCCTATCTTCCAGATGTTCCCATGTTGGTAGTAGAGCGTAGTGCAAGGAACAGACAGACGTATGTCGCCCAATTTGGTCTTCTTGAGTACGTACAAGAAGATACGTACAGGATCTGGGATGAGCCAGCCAGAGAGGCGCAGGACCGGGGTAAGGTTGCAAGATGGGGGGGGTGTGTGGACTGTCGATAGAACTGACATGGGTTGTAGGGGGTGTTAGCGTAACATTGGCCATGTGGATATCGGGAGAGGAAGAGAGAGAGAGAGAGAGAGAGAGGAAGAGAGTGAGTGAGAATGAGAGAGAGGGCAACATGTGCCAGCTCATTGCTTGGCTCTTGTTTTAGCGTTGTCTTCCCGCTGCCGCGGCGGCGCCATGTGTGTGTGTGTGTGCGTGTGCGTGTATGTGTGTGTGTGTGTGTCTGCTTGTTGTGTATATGCTTGTGTGCGTATATGCGTCTGTCTGAAGCTCTTCTGTATGCGCGATTGCTGGTCTGCGCGCCCTCCAGTCTCCTTTACTCTCTCTCTGCCGCCTGCGTTTCCCTCTCTGTCTTTGCCTATGTGCGTGTGTCAACTAGATAGAGGTCCCCATCCACGTCTGCGGCAACCTCTCTGCTGCATGCACAGATCCGTTGCAGCCTCTATTCTCCAAGACCGGACGCAAACGGAAACAGATGGAGGCTTGGATGTGGCTTCTGCCATCAGCTCCGTCCGGGGCAAGTGCAAGAGTATAGTCGACCGGGATCATGGAATTTCTATTCTGGAATGCTGATTGAAGGAATGTCGGAAATGGCATCCCCTTATGCATCCTCATGAAGGGATCAGGTTACTAACTCTGAACTGAACGGACGCCCTGTTGCCAAAGAAAAGGTGTGAGGAGTAGAAGACGGCCGGGGCTGGACTGGGCGGTACGGGGAGCCTCCAAGGGCGTTTCTTTCTTCGGATTACCTTTCTCTCCTCCTCCCTCGTCTCCATGTGGTCTCTACCCCGAAGGTAGAGCAAAAGCCGTTGGAACTAACAACGCCACCGACCTGGTGCCCATTCGTTAAGAGCCGTCGACCCATGATCCAGGTCGTCTGCGTGCAACCATGGTTTGATAGCAGGAGCGGAACTCTGCCCCAGTGACCGCACGGGACGGCCATGGCGGCCATGACAGTCCAGGTCCATCGCCCTGTACGGGATGGCGGATGGAGAGGGGGGAGTGTGGGAGGTCAACGGCAGGATACTGGCATGGTACATGCTCTAAGCCTGAGGCTACCTAGACACCAGGCGAGATCGCGAGAGAGCGGAGACGCGAGAGAATGAGAGGTTGTTGCACACATCCACAACCAGGCCCATGTGGGTAGCAGGTCGTGGCGGGGCATATTGTAACAGGTACAGCTCGACATGAGATGTACAGACCATGTACGCCTGTCATTCTCATGGTTGGAGGGAGGCCCGCCAGCCAGCTTTGACAACCAGCCAGTCAATTATCGAGCTGAGAAAGGAGGCATCTGGGGCAGAACAACAGCTCTTCGGAGACCAGCAGCAGGTACACCGGACGCATGCATCGACTTTGGCGAGAAGACCAATCACTCGCTGCCGTCTCCACGAGCGCTGCCTCAAAGTCCTGGCTTGTACCAGTGTAGGAGAGTTGCAAGGCAGGCGGATGATCGGTCTCTTGATGCCAGCCCGCGGGCACGTAGATCATTTTCGAATTCTAGAAAGTTTATGGTGCTCCCTAACACTCAACGTTGTCGACACGGATTTAGAGCAGGGAAATCATGTAGTCAAGGTGGAGATTCAATCCCGCCTATGCCGAAATGTGGCCGCTTGCTCAAGAGTGGTGTTTCGGGTTTCTTTGCCTCTCTACATCTGTGCATCACGGGGAAGACCGATCGTTCCAGGTCAGTAGTACCCAGGGACTCTGCTGCTCGTCATAGTACCCCGTCTTCCCACCGACAACGCCCAACGGCCAAGTCGGTGAAGGGGGTTGGATCGCCAGCCCATAGATGAGAGGGTAGGCGTGGCAGGGTGGTGGGTGGATTCGTCTGCGGTGGCGTGGAGATCAGCAAGTAGCTGCAGCCATTGTACTCGGACTCTGGTCAGGATAGCTTCATACAAGTCTGCTTAAAATCATGTCAGTCGTCCGGGGCCGGCAGCACTTAGCGTCGTGGGGGCCAGGCAGCTATTCCAAGTAAAGGTACAGTAACAGTCCGAAAAGGGTTGCCCTGGCGCCCCGTCCGGTGCCTTGATGCCTTGGTGCCCTGGTACCAACTACCAACAGTTGCACGAGAAGATGGAAAGGAGGTAATTGATTAGTTGCAGACGAGAGCTATGGTCGCCTGTGTGATTGTGCGTCATTCTCTTGTCTTCCCAGGAGGTCGGCCCGCGGCCAGCGGCGGTCTGTTGCGGTCGTCGGCGGGTGTATGATCCGAACGGTGGAGGAGAAGAAAAAGAGGAGAGAATGTACGTGGTACCAGCGAAAGTGAGAGCGGCCGGCGAGCGAGCGAGCGGGAGAAGAAGATGAGGCGGACGGGATCTGAAGATGGATAGCAGATACAGATCTGTCCTGACTTCTGGCCAGGCCAAAAACAAAACAACCTCCCAACACCAAACGTTGTCCCAATGTATCCGCCCACCCGGTTGATTCTGTCACATCGTGACATCGTAGATGCATCGTGACAATACGAGCGAGCCTCCTTTCCAACCCCAGCCCGATTCTGGGGGCAATTACTTCCGGTAGTAGATCTGCGGAGGGGGGGCATCATGTCAGTATGGTTGCAATCAGAGAGAATCAAACGTGGGAGTGGGACTTGTTCCTTACCTTTTTGAATTGAAAGTGCAGTTGCAGGATACCCTGCAGGGAGTATAAGATTAGCTCAACGCCATGACAAGGGTGGCTGGTGTCAAGTAATATGACAGAAAAACAGGAGAATATGTCCAGAGGCGCGCGTGTAGGCGGTTGGGCAAGGGGGGGGAGGGGGAGGAATGGCGGAGTCGGTGGTCTGGCGGAAAGCGAAGGCTGTCTTCCCCTCGTCTCCTCGTGGACCGCCTATCACGGCATTGGAGAAAGGTCTCATGGAGGGTCGGTTCCTTCGACATGACGGCAGATTGGGGAAACGAGGAAAAGAGAGAAGGGTAAGGGGCACAGTTGTGCGGGCGTTGCTCTTTGCAATCCCCCCCCCCCCCCCCTCCCTCTTGAGTGATTCTTGTGCTCTCCGTGCATATGCACCGCGTCGACTCCGCCACGAGCACTATGAGAAGGGAGAGAGAGAGAGAGAGAGAAACAAGACAAGATGCAGATGAAAAGGGCCACGTGAAGACGGTGTAGAAAACGCCACAAAACATACCTTATCGAAAGAACTTTTGAAGCCGCGATCCTTCTTCGCACTGTAATCCCACTCGCGGTCCACGATTCTGAAGGCAATGTCTTCGTACGGTGGACCTGCGATGAATCGGATGAGGCATGTATCTTCCTCCCCTGCTGCGGCAAAAGACTCCCCCCTTTTTCTGCCGTGTTCTCGAATGATTTTGAAAGTAGGCGCCTTGGTCTTGTCAATGAGTTCGGGATAGAAGATGTTGAACTTGTAGCCCTGGACAACCTTCGGGGGCGGGTTGTCGTGGTCGTAATGTGTCTGGTTGTACTTGTTCCATTCGTAGCCCATCTGAACGCGGTTGAAGTATCTCGGCTTTCGTGGACGGTGCTTATCAGCCCATTGAGGTTTCGAGCCACTTGCAACGGTCTCTTCTGCCGTGAATATCTCCTCGTCCTCACCAATGCCACGCGCGACCTCACGGTCGTACAGAGCTTTGGTAGCTTGGGAAAAGTCTTCGTTGCCCGTCTGAGCGAATCGAGCAGTTCCCGGGGGCGCACTTGAAACAGGTACCGCCTTTGTTTCTGTCCTGCTTGGTTCAGATGGCAGGTTCCTGACTGCTGCAGGGCCCGAAATAGAATCGGCATGGTTGGCTTGGTGGTGGCCCAGTGCCTTTGCCTTTTCCGGATCCTGCAGCTTCAGCAGTGCGGCTTTGCTGTCGTTGATTGCTTCGGACACCTTTCTCAGCTTGGCCTTAGCCTTCCACACCAGCAGACTGCGGAGAAGCTGCTCCCAATAGTCGACATCGATATCGTCGTTGGAGCGGAGCTTTGCCTTGATCTGTGATTCGAGTGCCTCGAGCTGCTCGTACGTCTTGGGGCGCAGGATCTTGTCGACATCTTCGGATACTGTGCTCACGACCCGAGCGTCTGGACCTTGTGGTTTCAGCTTCTGCCGCCTGTCGGCACAGATGGCTTGCAACGACTTCCAGTAGTCGCGATTGCGGTCGTTTTGCTCGAGGGTGTGGTAGGACGTGATGTCAGAATCCAGGTCTCGTAGCTGTGATTCGTCGAGCCCCTGCAGGACCTCCTCGGGAGAGGCCACATTGAGGTGCAAGTCGGCATCGTCGTCGTCGAAGACGTCCCGGTCGTCGTCGATGAAGCGCAGATTGAAGGCCAGAAGATCAATAGGCTTGGCTCGGCCTTCCCGAACTCGAATATCAGCCTTCTTCTTGGCTTGTTTCAGAACGAACTTGTCCTCATCGGCGACAAACTGTCTAGACTGCTCATCCTGCGTCATATAGCTCGAATTGTTGTTCTGACGTGGCCGCGAAGAAGGGGGAGGGTTCGAGGGTTTGGTGATGCGATTATTCGGGTCGCGTCGTGGAGAGGCTATGTCTCTGTCTCTTTCGCGATCTCTGCGGCTGGGTGATCTGCGCCCTGAGAGCATGGCTCTGCGGCCCGGGTCCATGTTTGCTGTCGTTGAGGGATTGGGGGTTCGGCGACAACGGTTCTGGTGTCAGGTAGAATACTGTCTTTGTTGTGAAGGTCGTAAGTTGGGGGCGATCTCGTCGTCGCGAGCTGAGCGAGCTGCCTTGCGACAACAGGAAAGAAGGCCCAGGGCTTATCGGGAACTTGTCTGACGGGGGCCAGCTCTTATCGCCATGTGACGTGAGGTTGATGCGTGGGTCCGGCTGATCTCCGGGCACTGTCTTCCGTCCTTACCTCATGTGATACCGAAACACACCGAGATCTACCGATAGCACTCCTGCTCACCGAGCGTTGGTCCAAATCGTTCACCTCAAGCCGCACGGGCAGTCCCCGAGAGCCAATCATATTCGCTTTTCGCTTCTACCGCCCCGCCGTGGATCCCTGAACCAATCGGGCGGGGCAGCGGGGCCTCCGCTAAACCAGGGCCTTGGGAGCTGGGATGGCACGCTAGAGCTGATGCACGTCCAGATCTCCCGATTTCAGGAACATGATGACGCACAAGACATCGCGCCGATCGTGAACCTTTCTCCAGCCGGATCATGTCCATAGCCCCTTCCCACAGGCTGAAGAGCTTGATGGGAGGGCCAGACGAAAGTTAGAACCATGCAATATTCAATCAAACAGTTCAGATTCGGTCTTTCGACTGGAAACACCCCAGCTTTCGTCACCTTATGCTCGCCTGTCGCGTCTTGCTCCCCAGCAACGCGCTTCCACCTCTAACTCATTCTTATACTCGTGTTGCGATTGCTACTACTGCCATTTCTCCCTTTGCCTCGCGCTTCAACTCGACTTCCGCCTTGAGCTTTTCTCAACTCTGCAACTCCCGCCTCCTCTGCAGTACTCGACAACCGAGCTCGATCAATCTCACAGCAGCGAATCCTCGCTCTCATCCTCGCTACTTCACCACGATGCCGCCCAAGCAGAAGCGCAAGGCGGCGCCGGCGGCGGAGTCCAGCGACTCTGGGAGAAAGAGAACCAAGACGGAGCAGAATGGCGGAGATCCCCTGCGCAAGCCGCACCCGTTCCACGAAGACGCTGAGAAGCATGGAATCGTCCTCCGGAAGTTCTATCCACACGAGATGAGCAACGACCGAGCACGCGCCTACAACGAGAACGAACTTCCCAGACCAATCGAGGAGCTCACCTCCGCTCTGGAGCAGACTTCCAAAACGAGAAAGGCAGTCAAGACAAAGAACGCCGTCGTCCATTGGTTCAAGATGGATCTCCGGACAACAGACAACAGATCGCTGTCCCTAGCGAGCGCTAAGGCCAAGGAAGCGGGCGTTCCACTGATCGCCATGTTCATTGTCAGCCCCCAGGACTATGAAGCGCATCTAACGGCCCCCATCCGCATCGATTTTATGCTCAGGACCCTGCATGTTCTGAGGGAGGACCTCGCCAAACTTGACATCCCGCTTTATGTCGAGACCGTTGAAAAACGCAAAAAGATTCCCGAACGGATCGCTGAGCTCATGGATCAATGGGAGGCCAGCCACTTGTTTGCCAATATGGAGTACGAGGTGGACGAGCTCCGCCGAGAGGGGAAGATGGTCCGCATGTTTGCCGACAAGGGCCTCTCGTACGAGGTCCTGCACGATACGTGCGTCGTCCCTCCCGGACTTTTGACCAGCGGGGCAGGCAAACAGTACGCCGTTTATTCACCCTGGTTCCGGGCCTGGGTCCGGCACGTCCACGAGAACTTGGACCTTCTCGAGCTATACGATCCGCCCGCGAAGAACCCATCCAGCGCAAGGGAGAAGTACGGCAAGCTGTTTGAAACGGAAATTCCGGAGGAGATTGTAGACCGGAAGCTCGACGACGACCAGAAAAAGCGCTACCGTGCCTTCTTCCCGGCTGGCGAACATGAGGCACGAAGCCGTCTGGAGAAGTTCTGCGAGGAAAAGGTCGGCCAGTATCACAACAAACGCAACATCCCTCACGACGCCGGGACCTCCACCTTGTCAGTGCACCTTGCCAGTGGGACCATCAGTTCGAGGACATGCGTGCGGTACGCTCGGGACCGCAACAAGACCAAGAAGCTGGATGCGGGCAACGAGGGGATACGGGTATGGATCAGCGAGGTGGCATGGCGAGACTTCTACAAGCACGTCTTGGTAAATTGGCCATATGTCTGGTATGTCGGACAACGTTCCCTTTCCGTCCATAATTCGAAAGCCTTGATCACTAACAAGTCCCAACTAGCATGAACAAGCCTTTCAAGCCCGAGTACGCAAACATCGAATGGTCCTACGATATGGACGACTTCAAAGCCTGGAAAGAGGGCAGGACCGGATTCCCCATTGTCGACGCGGCGATGCGCCAGATGGTCCACATGGGCTGGATGCATAACCGATGTCGCATGATCGTCGCCTGCTTCCTCGCAAAGGATCTCCTTATTGACTGGCGCATGGGAGAACGAGTGTTTATGGAAACCCTTATTGATGGCGATTTCGCCTCAAACAATGGCGGCTGGGGTTTCTCTGCCAGTGTCGGCGTAGATCCCCAGCCCTACTTTCGCATTTTCAATCCACTCCTCCAGAGCGAGAAGTTTGATGCTGACGGAGACTATATCCGCAAGTGGGTGCCTGAGTTGAAGGGCATCAAGGGCAAGGCGATCCACGCTCCGTACGACCGCGGTGCGGGCGCCCAGGCGAAGAAAGCAGGCTATCCCGAGCCCATGGTTGAACACAAGGGATGTCGTGAACGAGCCCTATCGGCGTACAAGGCTGGATTGGGCAGAACCGACTTGTGAGCATTTGCCTTGGGCCTGTGGTCGACCGACTGGTCTGTGTAAGATAGTGTTGCAAGTCTTGGTGGAGTTGGTCTCGACGTCGAGCAAGGTTATGTTACCCCTGAGTGGATAGAAAGCAATACCATAATAGTGTCTGTCGTGACCAAATACCTCACCTCGAGCATGACAAGCCAAAATAGGGTGAATCTCTGGGTGAAGCTAAGTCCATCGAACACCTCTCTAGAGACCTTATCGTTCGTTCGATTGTTGTTGATGTAACGCGTTCTTCTCGATCAGCCTCTCGAAGCCAGCATTTACGGTCAAGGTTTTGGGACGCAAGCGCGGTCGAATGGGCGCCGCGTCTCTCGAGAAGTGCTGACCAGCAGCAGTAATCATCTGCTTATATTAAAACACTTTCTTTACACCGCTCCGATCATCCAAATGAATCCTCATGTCTTTACGTTGAACCTTTGCTGGATGTGTCCATCTTTCGTAACGTTCATACAGCCTCTCACCTTTTAGACGTCAACCGAGGCCTAAGATGATGTTCGGACAAGAAGGTCCTTGGGTCGCACAGATCTACGACAGTCTCGGCAGTCATGTTCCGTCACCTGCATCTGGTATTGGCTACAGTCGTTGGTCAACAGTTGCTGGTGAAGTGGCTGCCGGCGTCGACGCCAAGATGCCAAGCCGTGAACTCTCCGAACGCTCAACTTGCAGGTTACCCAAGTCAACGCAAGACTCGTGACCACAAAGCGTATATTGACGACTTCCAAGTCAGCTTGACAATACTTAGAGCTGCTATCGCGAAACAGAATGTATGTATGTGAGTGAACCAGTTTCGCGAAGGCACTGGGACGCAGCGACGAGCCGTGGCGGGAGCATCCAACGGCGGGACCCGGGCCTCCTTACCCCTTGCGCCCACTCTCAACTTCATTTCAGTCGAATTCGTCACTGGTGGGATCGTGAATAAGGATTCATCACATTTTGCGGTACCGAAAAATGCTCGAGTCGTAGTCATGTGCTGTAAAGTGCGTTCCGATGGCCCGATGCAACCTCGGAGGCAGCTACTCCGGCTCGACCGCCCACCAAAGACCACGACTTTTCCGACATCGCAGGTCCCGTTCTTCCACTCATGGAAATGAAACATACTCTCATTGGTCCCACGTAGTCGCATTTCTTCGAGGTCACCTGCCCCTTCTCCGGATTGTGTGATTCCAGTGAGCTGGTCCGACGTTGCTGTCGTCCTCACCACGAGTCTATGGCACCTGCGGCTCTAGGAATGCCGGCCCCCAAGGGGAAACAGACTAGGGTACCCAGTCTAGATCGTTCCCTTCACGGAGTCTAGAGCCGGTGATATAAGGCAAATTCGCAGAAGGCAACATTGAGATTACCCCTGTGAGAACGGTAGCGAGTCGGGCGGGACATGCGACCCCACGGGGGCTCCCAACTTTGATGGTGAAAGAGGGAAGGTGCCACGGAGTAGAGGGTTCCATGAGCCGACGAAAATAAGAATATGGGCTAAAGGAAGCTTGGGAGGGGACATGCTCCTCTAAAGCCTGGCTTATAAGAAGACAGCCAAGTATATGTGCCGAGACATACTTCCCATTTGCTTCTTCATCCAGATACCCAAGAGTCGTAAAGAGTCTACGCAACTCTCACTCATCATGAAGTACCTCGCATCTCTCGGAGCCCTCATCGGCGCCGTCGCTGCACAGGCACCCATCTACGGCCAATGCGGGGGCGAGGGCTGGAACGGCGCGACGACATGTGTCAGCGGCTCAGTATGCACTGCTACGAACCAATGGTACAGCCAGTGTCTTCCCGGAACGGCCGCGCCTTCGGTCACAACGACGCTCGTCACGAAGACGACTTCCACGGCCAAATCCACCGCCACAGCAACCTCTCCACCTGCCAACTCTCTCGGCTGGAAGTGGTTCGGTGTCAACGAGGCCGGTGGTGAATTCGGAGAGAAGACGCTGCCTGGTGTTTGGGGCACGGATTTCATCTTCCCTGACACATCTACCATTACTGTGAGTTTCCGAGAGTTCAGTCTAGGTAATGGGACTTGAAACTTACACTTATTTAGACTCTTCGAGGCCAGGGTTACAACACATTCCGCGTCCAGTTTAAGATGGAGCGCATGACTCCAAACTCCCTGACGGCAGGCTTCAACACAGCCTACCTGGCAAACCTTACAACCGTTATCAACCATATTACCTCAAGCGGAGGCTGGGCGGTCTTGGACCCCCACAACTACGGACGGTTCTACGACAACATCATCACTGATACTGGTGCTTTCCAAACGTGGTGGAAGAACTTTGCCACCCAGTTCAAGAATAATGATCACGTCATCTTTGATACGAACAACGAGTATAACACTATGGACCAGACACTTGTACTCAACCTGAACCAGGCCGCTATCAACGGTATCCGCGCAGCAGGAGCAACCCAGTATATCTTCGTCGAAGGAAATCAGTGGTCTGGCGCCTGGTCGTGGGTGACAGTCAACGATAACATGAAGGCCCTCACCGACCCGTTGAACAGAATTGTTTACGAAATGCATCAGTACCTCGACTCAGACAGCTCCGGTACATCGGCAACGTGTGTTTCTGCAACTATTGGCGTTGAAAGACTCACTGCTGCCACGAATTGGCTGCGTCAGAACGGCAAGATCGGTATCTTGGGCGAGTTCGCCGGCGGAGCCAACTCCCAATGCCAGGCCGCCGTCAAGGGCATGCTTGACTACCTCAAGGCCAATCCAGAATGGAAAGGAGCCATTTGGTGGTCAAGCGGGCAATGGTGGAGTGATTATATCTACAGTTTCGAGCCTCCCTCTGGCACGGGTTACACGTATTACAACTCCTTGTTGAAGGGGTATGTTGCGTGAGGCGGTTGGAGATGCGGTACAGCCTTGCGTACTGTGTAACGCAAGGAAGGTGCTCTGGGGGCGTCTGAAATGGCTGTAAGGTCATGCTTATACCTTAAATTTGCTGTACATATTCACTTCGTATATATGATTCGATTCTTACCCAGACATGACAAACGTCAACTTGAAGCTTGGAAACTAGAGGTTTGTCCTGATCATCAGCCACGAGGAGACTTGAAATTGGGAACAGAAGGAAGAGATTGGAAAGATATGAGTTGTGTTGTTGAAGAGTTTGACGCGGTGGATGCTAAACTATCACCGCACCATCGGGGGCCCTCCGGGTGAGGAGCCGGTATCTCGGCCCCACTCATACCGAGAAAGTGGATCACACCCGGACCAATCCGGCATGGACATTTTTCTGCCTTACACGTACCTTCAGCGATATTGAAACAAGACGCAATTCGATTTCATAATTCAATCTGATCGCTGAGGCTTTTATCTAATCATTGAGACTTCAATCTCATCGTCGAGATTAAAGCCATCAGGATAGAAAGGAAGTAGTGCAATGCCTTGCCGACTCGCGGTCCCTTGAGGCCTGGATTGCTGAGGCAGCGAAGTTCATCCGACGTGATACCAGACACGGGCTCGGCCTTCTCAACGATACCGCTCGCAACCTCATCGAAAGCGAGATGAAGGCGCCCGTCACTACTAATAACCTCAACCCGGCCAACTACACATCCTGCAGGGCCATCCAAACCGCTCTCGGTAGCAATAACAAAATCAAGATGGGATCGGTATGGGCCCTTATGATCAAAAGAGAGGGAGATGTCAAGAACTTCCTGGCGAAGTTCCCTAACAGGGAGATCCTTAAGACCATAGCAAAAATCTACTGCGCGGTCACCTTGGGCGAGTACAACGACATCGAGGAACAAGATGTGGATGTGGCTGTGCCCCACACACACATATCACCCCCTACAGTTAGACAGACATATGCACAATACAAGCTTAGTTCACACCACACATCCAGCCCCTTACGTGGCCTCGATGTGAGTGGGCTCACAGTTAGTAGCACAACATAACTGCAGGTGGATAGACAAACGGCCTGACACCCAGCACATCCCGGGGGGTTATTCCTAGTGTCACTTCGACCTCTATCACTGCCCAAATCTCAATTTCTATCCTTGTTATCGCCATCATCTCTACCATTACTCGTGTTCGCCCTTTTCTCTTGAATATCCTCTATCGAATACTTTCGAAGTGTTAGAATATAATATTGGTAGGTAGTGAAGATAGTAGCAAGGGTGAAGAGGACGGTCTGTCATGAATCGACCTCTATGTAATTTTTTCAACGGTGAAAACTTCATGGAAAGTCCAGTCACCAAGCAATCACCTTCAATTCCCCAGCAACAGCCCCAAGACCACCATCTTCATCGGTGCTCAGTCTAGAATCAGCCTATCTATGGCGTCCCGCCAAATGCGCCTAGGCATGGTAATTAGGCATGCCCTAGTGTAATTAGCGCGCCACCAGTTCATGGCGTTTAGCTGACATCTGTAACTCCGTCTCGTAGAAAGCTCTCGGCTTGATCAAGGGTCTGCCATTCTGCTTATCAAACCACGATGTTGCTTTTGAAGAGAACTAGTGAGCAAGTTGACCTCCTGGGCCACCAGTCGTCAAAGTCATCTGCAGGCACATCACGTGTCGCTTGAAAAAGAAGTGCTGGAAGATTTCTGCATGTGACAAAATGGGAAATCTGAGGCCACTGTACGCGATTGCTCACGAGGATATCAAGACTGGGCCAGCGAAGTAGATCATCACTGATCCTATATCATAGTCTTAAAGCGATGATTCATGTCTTCTATAGTCTTCATTCACAACTGAAGTCCTGAATGCTGCAAAGATCACCCAGGTACCTTTTGCCGATGTTCGAATCCAGACTGTGGCATCAATCTTGTAGAACTTTCAATTCTCTAGCTTCTGACTTTCAGAGGATCATGTGGAGCTAGCACTTCACCAGGGAATCTCCTGGCCGGTAATGACGTTGATAAACTTGCCCGACGTACTTTCGCGGGTTGCGTTGTCAATCTATCAATATCTCAGTCAGCCAACCTAATTCCCAATTACCTGAAGAGAACCAGGAGACATCGGAACAACTTACCAAGTCTATCGTCTTCGAAGTACTCTCTTCAATCGTATGCGGTGCTTCTTTGAGTCCCATGATGCGCGCACCGATGTTGCCCATCTCCGTCTGAACATGGCTACGCCTTAGGTCAGCATGTTTTGTCGACAACTGTCAGCTCCAGAAGCTGCTTACCCAGGGTGAATGGCAAATGCGACCAGAGAAGGGTTGCCGGCATGAATTGCTCTGCCATGAGCGAGTTGTAAGCGATCTAATTCCGGAGCTTGTCCACCATCTGACTTTTCCTAATCACTTACACGGTGAACCAATCCTGAGCGGCCTTAGACACGCCATAAGCACCAGCATAGAACGCCATGTACTTCTCGCAATTGGTGATGGAGCCAGCACCGCTCGACACCGAAACCCACTTCGGCGAAGTGGACTTGTCGAGAAGTGGCTTGAAAGCCTGGAAGAGACGAATGGGACCCAGAGTGTTGACCTGCAGGGTGTACTCTACTGTTTCGATTTCCGCGGTGTCCAGCTTCTTGGGTGGCATGGGGCCCATACCAGCGTTGGCGATGATGAGGTCTACATGTTCAATTCCAGCTGCTTCGACATCCTTGAACGCCTGCAGAGGATCGGTCGATGAAATACTGTCGATGCCGACGAGGAGAAGGCGGGAGCCTTCGGCTTTGGGAAGTTTGTCCAAGTCTTGGGATGCTTGGGCTTTGGTATCCCGCACGCTACCGATGATTGTATGCTTCGGTCGAGCAAGGTACTTTTGCAGAAGTCCCTTCCCGATACCTGGCGCGCCATTAGGTTCGGGGCGTCATTACCTCAACTTGATTGAGAAACAGCATCAAGACAAGGAAGAGAGCCCACCTTTATTGACTCCAGTGATGAGCACAACAGTTGAGGTAGACATTTCCTGGTCTTTTCAAATCTCAGAAGATTCAGGTAAATATGTTTCGAAGTAAAAGAGTATTCAGGTTGGAAGCAGCGAGAGTGCAGGCAAAAGGGGTGTTTGGCAGATAGCCTGTAATCGAATCTCTTGTGATGATAGAAAATGTTGCTGTCTCTTTATAAAACCTCAAACCACTTACAAACTATTCGAAGCTACTGAGACAAAAGAAACCATCTAGTCTTTTCTTGGCTAGGTGTCGTTCGCTTTCGGAGTAAATTGCTGCCTAAGGTACATCGTAGTGAGGGGCTAACTGCATGTTTTTGTTGGAAATGCGGCACCAGAAGAATACTTGCTGCCTGTTTATCTGAAAACACATCCGAACCAGTCGTAATGAGGAAATTGGCGAGTTATGCGGGCCCCAAAACGGGTTTACTGTACTGTTGCCGCATGACCGTGGAGACAAGCTGCAGATGCGGTTTGAACGACAGTCCGGCTCGCGACCATGCACTGATGTGATCTTCGTCAATCGCAATGACTTGATAGAGCTAAGGAAGCTTATTCCTTAAACTTCTGCCTGCCGTCTGTGGAACTTGAGAAGCTTGATTGCACGTACCTTAGGCAACGATTTCGGTAAGGTACTCTCGTGCTGAACCTTGCGACATTGATCTCATCATCATGGAGTCCTAGGGCAAGTGATGCCGGAGAATGATAATTGCAAATCCTATTGTACCATTGAGTGCATTACATAACAACTATTCGATGGAACCAAGAAGTCGTGTTGTGCAACCCTTTACGACCTCATGTCACTGATCCTCCAAGGCCTTATAAATGGCCCTGATGTAAGACTTTGCAGCGTTGTTTCCCAAACCCGACATGGACAGCTTATTCATCACATATGCGATGGTGATTTTCCTGTCTAGATCCATAACGACGAATGATCCACCGAGGCCTGCCCAGAAGCATATACGCCCGTTAGGCAGGAAATCAGCAACCGCCGTACCACCTTCGCCCGTAATGCCAAATCCAATACCGAAACGCATGGGCACGCCCATCACAAGATCAACCCCGTTGGATTGTTGCTCAAATATGAGGTTGATGGTATCTTGTGAGAGGAAACGTTTGCCGTCGACGCTGCCGCCGAGACTGATGATCGAGAGGATTCGCGTGAGCGCGTAGGCATTGGCGTGCCCGCTCCCGGCGAGGATGTCGCCCTGGCGCCAGGTAGGACCGTTAGCGAAGTCTGAGGGGAAGGGCATGGGGTTCATGGTCTTGAACGTGATGGAGCCCGGCTGGGGGCCCATGCCGGGACCGAGGGGAGGCATAGGTGCGGAAATAACATCCGTCGTCCGGGGGAGTTCTTTGTCGGAAACGCCAAAGTGAAAGTCTGCGCCCAGTGGCTTCACGATCTCTTCCATGATGAAATCTCTCAGCATTGTACCCGTCGCGCGACGGACGATGGCTGCTAGTAGATGGCCAAACGTGAATGAGTGATATCCAGATGCTGTGCCGGGTTCCCACCACGGTGCCTGCGTAGCTAGCTTTGCTGCAGCTGCGTCGAGGTCAGAGATTTCTTCGAAAGAGAGCGGTCCATCGGCATCCCAGCCAGAGACCCCCGACGTGTGAGAGAGGATATGGCGGATCTCGATATCTTCTTTACCATTGGCGGCGAACTCAGGCCAATGCTTCGAGACCTTGTCGTTGATCGAAAAGACTTTTTGGTCGACGAGAATGAGGATGGCGAGACTGAGGACGGTCTTGGTGGAGGAGAAGATGGTGACGAGGGTGTTTTTGGTCCATGGCTGGGTGCGTTCCTTGTCCGTGTAGCCACCCCACAGGTTTACAACATCATTGCCATCAATGTTGACAGCAATGGCGGCGCCGACTTCTTCTCCACTGTCGATATTGTCCTGAAGTTGCTTGCGTACCTCTTGAAACTTCGGGTCGCAAGTGCCGTGCGTTTGTGTTCGTGTTTCTGTCATGATCGCGAAACTGTTGACCAAGAATAAGCAGTGGACTTGGTCGAGTTGTAAGTTGTATAGTGGGACTGGAGTTGATTGAAAAGTCAATGATGAAGGCTGATTTTACAAAACTCATAGAGTACAGCGAGACATGTTTTTCTTTTATAGTTGATATGATGCCAACGACACCTACATTGTCGGTGGTTGTTCACTCCGAGCTATCACGGCTTCAGATGCAGGCTGACAAGCGCAGGTCTTCGTTCCACTCTAGAGCGTCTCGCAGTGCAGTGTCGGTAGCTACCACTGCCGACTCCCCGGCCATCGGAGCGGCGCGTGGCGCCTGAGAAGTCGGTGCTTCACCCGCCGACTGGCCGGACGGAGTGTGTCTGTTCTAGGGCCTCAGCAGGCACACAGGCCAGCGGTGCTTCTTGGCGCTCTGGGTGCCTCGCTGCTTACTGTCGCTAACCATTGTTGGCTTCAGGCGCAGGCCATGTGGATAACGCGCAACTTCCGATGTGACCCGGAATTAACCCAGTTAAGAGTCTTTCCAGCTAAGGTAGTGTATGGAGTATCATTTGATGACTGGTACAGAGAGTTTTCTCCAATTCCCCGGGCAAAGGTCAATGTAATGTTGCGGCGCAGAGCGGGTGGCATCAACCGAGTAACAACGGGTAGGCCTACCCTCGTTTCAACCTCCAATCGCTCAACTCTCACCCAACTCTCACCAGTACCTCTGCATCATTCCGAGAAATATTGGCCTTTTCTCCCATGGGCGATGGCCAAGCCGTTGGGTTTGGACTAGGTCTTGCCCTGGGCGGTGTTTTCAGCGGCACTGTCGTTTGGCGATGGGGGCTTCATGCTGCTGCGATCCTTCATGTCGTTGTTTTGGCCATTGCCCTGTGGGCACTTCCAGTTAGCGTTGATGACGCCGCGCCTTTGGGCTGGAATACTCTTATTCGCCTGCGAAAAGAGCTGGTTCAAATTGGAGCATTGATCATTAGCACGAGCCTGGCTTTAATGTCCTATGTCCTTGGTATCGTTACAGACTCTGACGCGGCTAAGCATATGCGTCAACCGCTCAATATCGTGCTCCTCAGCACAGGTGTGGCAGTCGTGCCTGTTTACATCTTTTGGATGCACCACCAAAAGCTGGGGGGAGGGGGGGGGGGGGCGGCGCCAGCTCTGATACCCAACGAGCTATGGAAAAACGAACTATTTACCTCGGTATGTATCACCGTCTTCCTTGTTTGGGGGGCACTTAACGCTAGCGAGCAGCTCACGGCACTGTGCCTACAGGATGTTCGTGGTTTTTCGACGTTGACGTCGTCCTTGTACTTTCTTCTAGCACCCGTCTACGGCTTTCTTACGAACATCGCCGTTGCGGTCTTTCTGTCACGTCTCGAGCATCCTATGCCGTCACGGTTGCTTGTTTTGGGGGTGGACTTCCTCCTGCGAGATGGGGGCGACGTAAGATTGTCGAACCAATGAGAGTTGGCTGCTGCAGTGAGCCATGATGATTCATTGTGGGTATTCAGGCCTGCTAGGTATGACAATGTTTGAATAGAGCATGTTACCCAGTACTTATTTACCTGCAGCCCCGTGTGATTAAATACCAGGGATGACATGACGGGCTTGCAGTCAATTCCTTCCGACTTCAACTCACTCGACATCACCACATCACAGACCCCTTCGCATCTCCAGCGACACAGTTGCGTTTTCTGACATTTGCATACATCAAGTCACTTCAAAAAACATGGACGAGCCTATCGAGATTCTGGGCCAGCAGCCCACTCTCAAAATCTACACCCAGATAGCGGTCTGCTTTTCCGTCGAAGATGACCAATCCTATGCAAACATCACCAAAACTCTGACAAGCGGTCTTGAGCGACTTACCGCCGGGTTTCCCTGGGTTGCAGGGCAGATAATCAACGAGGGCGCGAGCGAAGGTAACACTGGCATCTTCAAGATCGCGCCACTGGAACCAACCCCGCCCTTGATTGTCAAGGATCTGAGAGAGGACCCATCAGTATCGTCGATGAAAGACATGAAAACGTCAGGCTTTCCCTTCGCCATGCTTGACGAAAGCATCGTCTGTCCTCGCCCGACTCTACCCATCGATCCCAATCTAGTAGGGAAACCTGAGCCAGTTTTCATCACCCAAGCTACGTTCATCAAAGGCGGGCTCGTTCTCGCATTCCTTGGCCACCATCAGGTGCTCGATGGAACCGGGCAAGGACACCTCATCAAACTCCTGTCCAAGGCGTGTAAGGGCGAAGACTTCACCGAAGAGGAAATTGCAACTGGAAACCTGCCACGACACAACATTATCCCCCTCCTCGACGACTTTGAGGGTGGGCCCGAGACTGATGCGATGATCATCAAGCCCTCAGCAACGCCGGCAACGGCACCTGCCACGTGCAGCTGGGCCTACTTTGACTTTTCTGCAGCTTCTCTTTCAGCCTTAAAGTCATTGGCTTCGGAGACGGTCAAGTCAGGCTACATTACAACAGACGATGCCCTTACTGCCTTCGCCTGGCAGTCAATCAGCCGCATTCGTGCGAACCGCCTATCACACGAAGCGAAAACCAAGCTCGCTCGAGCCATCAATGTGAGGGGATACATGGGCATTCCTCAAACTTTCCCAGCCCTCATCCAAAGCATGACGAACAACTCCATGGCGATTAAGGACCTCATCGAAAGACCTCTAGGGGAAGCGGCATCTCAACTCCGATCAACTGTAGATCCTGCAGCCTTGAGCTTCGGAGTGCGGGCTTTGGCGACACTCATGAACCAAGCGGCCGATAAGAGTGTCTTCTCATTCACCGGGACCCTTCATCTCGATAGAGACTTGGCTTTTAGTTCTTGGGCGAAACTCGATCTTTATGAGCACGACTTTGGATTGGGATTGGGCAAGCCTGAGTCGGTCCGGAGACCGCAATTCACACCCGTGGAGAGTCTTGGCTACCTGCTTCCCAAGGCACCAGATGGCAGCATCGCACTAGCAATATGTTTAAGGGACGAGGACATGAATGGGTTAAAGAAGGATGAATTATGGTTGAAGTATTCAAAGTACATAGGAAAGTAATTATCGGGCATTCCAGGCCCTTCAACGACTGCCGTTCTGTCCCCTCTAATCTTGATCTGATACCACAGGAGCAACTACCCCTCGTAGACGTAGCAAAATGGAGAGCCACCGATTCCAATCGTGCTCATAAGGTCCCTCAGCTTTCTTGGCTCAGCCAAAGGCCGAAGATCAACCAGGTCGTCCAAAGTGCCGTTGCGGCTCGGGGGAATGTTTTGCATCGTGACAGTACCAAAGATATCCTGCCTGTTCTCCCAGTCAAGCATCTGCCAGATCCAATAAACACGGTCGATCTGGCTGTGGTGCAGGAAGAATGCTGGGTCAGCCGGAGAGATGAAGAAGTTGTTGCCAGAGTCGCCTCCGAGCTGCCAGTGGCCAGCCGCATGAACTCCTAGCTCAAAGGGGTTGATGTAACGATCATCACCATTCAAAAAGCCCCAGAACGACTCGAGAGTGTTGTGCTCAGTCAGAAGGAGCGTCGTGTTCCGAAATGTGGTGTGTCGAGAAGAGACGTGTTTGTTCAGGTCTCGCTGCAGGCAGCGCGGGTCAGCAGCGAGAGGAGTGTCTGTGTTCTGAACGACGGGGAGGTTGACCGTCATTTTGGAGAAGGGGCCCGACATGACACACCCACCACCAGATCCGGGCTCGAGCTTGAGAGTTACGTTGGTGTAAGCCTGGTGAATTTCGAGGCCTTCATGAGGAACAAAGGCGCCGTTGCTGCCGATGGAAGTGTCCGATCCGTCAAAGAGAGGTGACAGCGTAGGGTCTTCCGCATCATAACCCCATTCCCAGAAGGGAAACGTACCTAAGATTGTGTCAGATGTATCCTGACAGATGGTAAGGCAATAAGCCACAAATGCTTACCAGTATAACCGCATTCGCGGACCTTTTGCTCAAACACGTCTGTGTACAGGCGATGCCAGAGCTGGAAATTAGCCTAGGCAGAAGAGCAAGAGAAACGTTAGCTCTCGGCACAACATCGTTTTTCTTACACCAAATTTGCGCTCTTACCGTTCTGTGAATGACAGGAGTCTGCTTAAGGTGGATAGCTACAAAGTCATCATACAAAGTCTTTGCAGCAGGCATCACTCCCGGCTCATACAAGCTCGGGGAACTCTGCATACACTCAATAGCAGCTACAAAGGCTCTCCTCTGCTCGGCAGGGAGTGTTCTCCATTCTCGGCGGACGCGAACCTTGTCCGGCGTGCATGTTGAGTTTGCAAATGCACCCGAACGTTGGTGCAATTCTTTAGAGTTAGCCAGAGCCTGTGCAGCAAGTTGAGCAAGGGCGTCGCCGTTGTTGATGGCCTCTTGGGTAAAGTTGTAAGATGGTGCCGCGGCCTTGACGGGGAGGAAGAAGGAAGTGGCAAATAAAAGCACCGAAAAGGCGCTGAGAAGAGAAGGACTCATGGTGAGAAAAGAGTGGACGCCGAAAAGTGCTCGACTGCAAGAACTTCAATGGCCTCTAAGCGCGGTCAATGATTGATTATTAGGCTGGTTGATGAAAGATGGCACGGATAATGGAGCGGACTCCAAGGTACTTAAGTTCAACAAGATGACAGCAAAACTGTATAAAACCTCCCGATATCAAGTGCCCGCGGGTCCAAGGAAATCCATCCGCGATCCATTTGGGATATGACTAGTTGCAGTTGCGGTGACAGCATCATCCTGGGCCAGGGTCGTGAATCTCGTGGCGTACTCTACTAGTCTTTGGAGATGCAAATTGCAACATCGCTTACAGGATCCCGACTCAGAGTACGAAAGCGAGGATTGCGCGTGGGTTCTAGCATGGAACCTTGTTATCTGGGGCACCACCCTCAAGCCTGGTCAAGCGCGCCGAACAGCCGCAATGACACAGCCAAGTTCACGGCTTGAATTTACGGAAACTTTTTTGTCAGCGTGGTCTAAGGTAGTGACTCGCGTGTGAACATAGACTGCATTATACTTGTCCAGGGTTCTAGTCCTCATAGAGCAGGTCAGAGTTGAAACCCAGGCTCTCAAAATAACCTTAATTTCATCGCTAAGGCTCTTGGGTGTAATTCCTGATGCAAGGTCACCTTCAATTGCAAACAAGCATTTTAGCAGCCGAGAAGTATTGGCACCTATTTTAGGTTTGTGAAACTGGAGTTGATAGAATAAGCTCTGTGATGGTCGGGAGCTTTTCGGTTCCGCAGCTCGGGGTCACCAATGCTTCTTAGCATTTTGAGTTGCACCCAAGTGGGGAAGCAATCTATGTGAGTATTATCACCATGACCTATAGGAAAGCTAGTCATATTGTTAAAAATGACTTTCCATATGGATAGCTCCATCCCTGACACAGATCGCCTTGTTTAGGGCTAAGCGCCAGGTCTTTCCTATAAGTTGATTTCTAGGCAGTCAAGTCCGTCGAATCATAGACTAGCTTGGCTATCGCTTAGTCCAGTCTGGCCAACCTCCGAATACAGTGGCACTGCAGGCTAAGTTCCTGACGCTTCCATGCTCACTTGACAAGATTTTATGTGGGCTGGAGACATGATGGTCGCAATGGAGACTTCAGCTTCACAAGTTTTCTGAGGACTTATCCAAAGCTCTCTGGCTCGTTCTCATTGTCAGGATACGAGTCACAAGGTAACATGGTGCAACATCATCATATTTGACTGACTCATTGATCACGTAACCACGTTGGAGGATCTATCATGGGAACTTTGGTACAGTGGCCAGGAGATAAGAGTGCTTCAACTCGCGCTATGAGTGGCTCACCTGAAGGAGGGTATGGATGTCCGTGTAATGAAACTGCAAACTCCCTACTCTATCCCTTTACTCCTAATCACTGCTGAGTGACACTTTTCCAACCCCCCAGAAAGAAGTTCTTTCTTCTTGTTCATTACTTCACAAGCAAACTGAATAAACATTTACGAAGTGAAATATCAGCATAATCGCGTTATCAACCCAAATAGAACGAAAAGAAAAGCATAAGATTCGGAACTTCATACTTGAAACGGTTCGCTCAGCCTGCAAACTCCTGGCATCATCGCCATTCTAGTTCCTCACTCTAGCGCTTTCCCATGCCGCACCTAGCCAAGCACTCTTCGGATCCGAGGGCAGCTCCGGTACCCACACCAGGAACGCGATTTCCACTTCCTTCGCTACTCTTCGATCCTGAAATGCCTCCGAAGGCAGCCTGAACCATGTCATTGGGCAACTTGAAAAGGCCGTTGAGTATACTCAAGGTGCCCGTATCATCGGAGTCAAGGGCTGAAATAAGCGTGGCATAGCCGCACCCTGCAAGAAGGGGTTACAATTAGCCAAGAGCTTATTCGTGCCGCCCCGTCATAAATCATAAATATTCCTGTTCTACGTGGGGTGGAGACTGCCCCTGGGGAAGATGGTCAGCTGTCCTGGGTTGAGTGTCGTGGTGGCTGGGTCAGCACCATTCTCTTGAATCATCCATGTCTGAGTCTGGCCTTCAACAGCGACCACAAAATTGGTGGCACGGGGGTGGTAGTGAGGCGGCAACATAGCACAGAGCCCAAGAGCGAGCCAGGTGACCGTCAGCCCATGACCACTTGCCGCGGAGAAGTTGCTGCGTTTGCGTTCACGACGCCGCCGGGCGAGTATGTGAAGTACTCGTGTTTCTTGAAGTCAAATACATAGTCATTTTTGACGAGCTGCAACTTGTCGAGCTCAGTAGCCGTTTTTTTTTTTTCAGCTTTGTGTTGATATCAGGGCTCACTGGCTTGTCTACGGCAAGGGCAATACCCGCAACGAAAGAAATGTAGAAGATAATGATCAACATTGTGCTAGAATGCAGCGTGAAGGATATTGTTGGCACCTTTGAGACAGGTATTTAATGAAGCAGAACGAAGCTGTAGAGTATTTCCCATTTGAGACACTGTCAAGATTCTCGATAGTCAACATCTATTTTATACTTCCCAGAAATGCAGAAACTTGTGAAGATTGCTCAGCTTAATGTTCGCCCCCAACTGAAGGATCATCTCAAAAATGCCAGACGAGTGAGGCTGGAGGAGTCATAGACGTCAATTGCAGGCACAGGTGCTAAGTGGGAGCTAAAGAGGAGTTGATAGATTGACCGTGCGTCCTATTATATCGAGGCATGCAGATGCTGCGCTGTCATAAAGATTCTTCAGGAGTCGAGTGAGATATTCGTGTGGTGTGTTTCTCAATCGCCGAGATCAACTTATCATCCTCCTAGGCTCAGGCCCTAACTCCTTGCACAACAGCCTAGCAGGCTAGGAAGTGCGGTTGCACTTATCACATTGTCTACTCAATTGATCTATGGAGACTACAAAATTTCATGATACTTGGCGATATTGACATTATGGCGGATGAATGCGCATCCCCTGCCTCTGATGCTATCAGTCAAAAATGATTTCAGAGGCTGAGACAGGAACCATGTGTGGCACCAAGGTACAATTAAGTAGGGGCTAAGGCACCCCTCCAGGCCGGTGGTCGAGGATAATGTGCTGGGATTGGGCCATCAAATACTTGCAGTCATCTTGCGGCTTGCTCCTCCGCTAGACTCGATTGGAGCGTTCGTCTCGAAGTTCACCCATGACGAAACTACGGACGAGCTGGCCTTCGATTGGTGGTTGTCCTACGAGCCTTGTAGACCTTGAAATCATTGTTCACCTCGGAGGACTACAGGATGGGGTACGGCCCAGGAAAGCCCGAGACAAGCGCCCTCTAGAATTTTTATATGGCTTCCCGAAATTTGGCCGCCTCACCGCACCTAGGTAGTACCTTATTTCTCGTGTTTGAAAGGCCTAAATTTGCGATCGGTTTGGTCTTGCGCCGTTTCCGTCGGTGCAAACAGATCGACCCCCGGGCTAAACTGTTTGTGACTAAGGCCCCAGACAAAGACCAGTCATCAACTTGGGAGCTGGCGCCTCTTTCCATTGTCTGGTCTGATCCCCAGAAAATCCACAAATCCAAATGGCCCCGTGGAGAAGCTCGTTCGGATCATGTTCAAAGATCAAAGAGATGACGGGCGGCCCTACCGAACCCTTACCGCTCTCGTGGAGGCGAATGGGTCTAGGTGCAACACCAGGAATAGACGTCCTAGTCTCTTCGTCGACATATAAACCTACATGGCACGGAGAGCTGGACCACGAATCTCATCTTTCGAGGCAAGCTCACTCACATTCATTGATAACATGTGGTCAAATATCATTCTTTCTTTGGCTCTTGGCAGCATTCACTCGACCGTGGCTAAGCCGTTGCCCGAAGCAGCAACCAAACCCGGCACATCGAACAACACAGTCCAGGGGTGTCTCAACACCGCCAAGGCACCAGTTGCCGTATCCTCATCCTCAGATTGGTCCGACGATATCCGGCCCTACAACTCTCGTTTGCAATACACACCAGCCGTTGTAGTAACGGCTACCGATGTCAGCCATGTGCAGGCCGCCGTGAAGTGCGGAGCGCAGTATAATCTCAAGGTCACAGCCCGGGGCGGCGGTCACAGCTATTCTTCGGCCGGACTCGGCGGCGAAAACGGCCATGTGGTTGTTTGGCTCGACGAGATGTACGGCGTGACGTTGAATTCCGATAACACTGCGACGGTGCAAGCGGGCGCGAGGCTCGGTCACATCGCGACGGAGCTGTTTGATCAGGGAGGCCGGGCCATCTCGCATGGATCATGTCCTGGGTAAGCGTCAAAATACATTGGTCGGCTGTGAAAGGGAGGCTAACACCAAGCTGGCAGTGTTGGTATGGGACATGTCTTGCATGGAGGCTTCGGCTTCTCATCTTCCATGTACGGCCTTGCGCAAGATTGGATCCTTGAGGCGACCGTAGTCACGGCCGACGGAAAGGTCGTCAAAGCATCGCAAACCCAGAATACGGATCTTTTCTGGGCCCTCCGTGGCGCAGGATCGTCTTTCGGCATCGTCACGGAGTTCAAGTTCAACACCTTCGCAGCTCCATCAGTTGTCACATGGTTCAAGGTCTCATCACCATTTAAGAAGGACAAGCTGGCTTCGGCTCTCGTGGCTCTCCAAAAGTATGCCCAGAACGACAAGCCTATTGAGTTAAATATGCGGGCCGTCGTCACCGCCGACAGCACCGCGTTTGACGGCCTCTACTACGGGACCGCAGACCAGACACGCGCTGTGCTCAAGAAGTTCCTCTCACCCCTGGGTATCGACGTCGGTGGCGCAACCATTACCCAGACTGACTGGATCGGCCAGCTGGAGCACTACGCCGGCTCAGCGGCCCTTGATGAGACCGGACCGCAGAGCTTATCCGATACTTTCTACGCCTCGAGTCTCATGACCAAGACGGTCTCGACTGCGGGCTTCGCTGCCTTTGCCGATTACTACCAGAACACAGCAAAGTCGACGGATAGCGGCTGGTTCGTCCTCATCGATGTCCATGGTGGCAAAACCAAGACAGCCCAGATTTCAAACTCAGCGACAGCTTACGCCCATCGTGATAAGGTGCTCATGTGGCAGTTCTATGACTCTTCTGGAAGTTCTGCGTACCCAAAGTCCGGATACAAATTCCTCAGCAAATGGATGGCATCAGTAACAAACACCATGGCAACTAATGAGTGGGGTCGCTACGTGAATTATGCCGACTCCCAGCTCAGCAATGCGGATGCACAAGATCAGTACTACCGGGATAATCTGGGGCGTTTGAAGGCTATCAAGGCTAAGCTTGATCCCAAGAATTTGTTCACCTACCCGCAGGGGGTGGGCTCATAAGTCATGTGCACACATGTAACTACCTAGCCTATTTACTGTCACATTAGTTCCACGCTGGGGCGTGTATGAGAATTGTTTTGATGAGACAAAAAAGCGTGGATCATTAGCATCGATGTAGATTTTAGTATTAGTAATTTAGACAGCTCTCGTCGGAGTTCTCGTCGGACGTATTACATAGTCCATGTTCCGGTTTACTCCCCCAGCTCTTTTCGATTCTTCTGATTTGAAGCTGAGATTGACCTGTGCCATGTGTGCCGGGGACAGATCGTTCTCGCTGAAGAACATTTGCAGATCGTTGAGCGACTCATCCCCCTCTCCCACAGCCGACTTTGTCCCACCGGTGCACAAAAGTGCCATGCGTTCAACGGCTTTCAAGTGCTTTTCGGCTACGTCAGGTTCTCCAACCAAATTCTGGAACGATTTGTGTTAGCACGTCATGATTGTACTCACTTGATACTAGGCATGTGATCTTGAACCCTGGGGATATGGTGATCTCTTACAGCGTCTGATGCCAAGCAAAGGCTCTTGGCCATGGTGAGGTTACTGATATTGTTTCCCTCTCTGGTGATTGTTGCGTTGAGCTGGCGTATGGTCTCCATCTTATACATCGTCATCACAGGGTCATTGTAGCCCTCCTCTCGTACAGTGGCAAGGTGTCGCATAGACCAGAGCAGTACCAAAGAAAGCATTCCCGGATCGGCGAGGGCTGACTGCACCCAGTAGGTCGTCATCATCTTGCAGAATGCCGTTCGTTCACCTTGCACCATCACTTCCATCTCTGGCAAACGGATCAACTCTAGTAACGCCATGCTGCGCAGGACTGCATACAGACATAGTCAGCTTTTAGCCTTGGCACAATCAAGAAAAATAGCATGCTCTTTCCGAGGTGTGGGCTGCAGTCTGTACATGCAAGCAACGGGAAGGGCGGGAGGGAACAGGGAAAGGTTCCTTTATACCGCAGCCCGCCCTTTTATACTTGCAAGGCTGACTGCAGTCACGGCCCGCAACTTCTACAGGCTCATGTACATTACCAGTCAAGCTTTCAGGTCTCATACTCACAGTGGTCAAGAAGTCCTTGCTCCTGGATAGTGACCCTCCTGACGAAGGCGTTGAATGGATCCGTTCTAGCGGCGCCGAGCATTGAAACGGGGCTGCCGGCGAGAAGGGGGGTGTGGCCAGAACGCGAGCCGTTTTTCAGGGTCGTGACAAGCCACAACCTCACAGATTGAATCGATGGGCGAGCCGGGGAATCTTCGATTTGGCTTTGCTCAGGAGGTGTGGTTGACTTCTGATAGGCGGCAACCCGCTGCTGACGGGCTTTTGGATTGCGTGCGGCGTGCGATCTGACCTTTTTCTTCCAGGCCTTGGTCTCGCTTGGATGGGTGATGGGCACAAAAAGGAACCCTTCCTCCCGGCTCCTGCCGCCGCCCTTGCTCGCGGGCGGCATCGCGGGCGAAGCCGTGGACCACTGTCGTCGAGAGGCGAACGAGTAAGGGCTGGACGTTGAGCGACCTCGGATGGCGTACCCTTCGTACCCCTTCCCGGTTCACCTCGAAAATGGAGTCAAAGACCTTCGTTACCGAATAGCAAGGCAGCGAGAGGAACCCGCTAATCGAACTGAACCGTAGGGCCGGGACGAGAGGTACGAGATGGGTGACTTGAGCGAGCTTCAGTGGCTCGGGAGACGTCCGTGATGATCTGGGGACAAGGTTGGCATTTGCCTATTCCAGCAAACGCTCGGGTCACACAAGGGTTTCTGGTGCACGAGATGAGAGGAGTGAAATCCTGACTGAC